ATATCTCAAACTTAATTCATACTTACTATCTTACTAACAAAATGATTATCCATTAGACTTCATATTTTCGATTATTATAGAATTAAAACCTTAGAAAACAGACGTAATTTAGACAAAAGGAATGACGGTGACGACAATAATAAAGAACCTACATCTAACACAAAAAAAAAAGTTTTTTCTTATGCCATATCTAAACTAAGATATCCGAAAAATTCAAAAAAGTATCTCAAATAAGTTTAATGTCGCCTGCAAACCAATAAACGGACTGAACAGGTTCATTTAAAGCAGGAAAGGATCGCTGCAAGGATGACTGTTGTGATGTAGTTTACAAGATAAACTGTTTAAACTATGAATCTTCTTATGTCGGCCAAACAAAAAGAAAACTAAAAACACAAATAAAAAAGAACATAAGACTAACATAAGAAGATCCATTGATGCAATGTCAGTTATCTCGCGCCATCAATTTGACAATGGACATGAATTAGATTGGGAAACATTAGCATTCTAGATATAGAACAATCCTTATATAAAGAAGAATATCTGAAGTGATACATATAAAAAAATCAAAGGAGCGATATAAATAAACAAAATGATATTGAAGGACTGTCCGACGTTTATCTGCTTCTTTTAAAATATAATAAGATCTCTCTCTTACCAAAGAATAATTCGAGAAAGAATAATTCTCAGTTTTTGCGCACATATAAATATCCATCACAGAGCAAAGTAACAACAAATAAAATCGACACGCTATCACGATATTGTTCCATCTATTATTCATTACATGTCGGTGAAAACATACAAATTTCATCGAATTGCTGAAAAAACAGATAAAAAATTGTAATCTTCTAATAATTAGATTAAAATAGATTAATAATATTGGGTTGTCCGAAAAGTTCGTGCCGACTAACTTATATAATTTAATAAATGTATATTAAAATTTCAATTTTTCTTCAACATCACGAACTTTTCGGACAAGCTAATAATATATCCATTGTATTATATGTTAGAATTTGGGAATTCTTGTTTTTTTTACACACTTCGAGACATTGTATTTGATTCATCAACCAAGTATTATGGGCTCAAATAAGAAGAAAGAAAGCGTGATTTGTATGACTGCGAAATTTATTGTTTTAATTTTATGTACTAATGCGAGATTTTTTTGTATTCTTACTGAAGATGTTGACCGAAACATCTAAATTTAATTTGAATCTTGGTAATATATTAAATATATTAATATAATATATTAAATATCACAAAAAACAACCTGTGTCATTATGTGCTTCTTTATTGTGAAAATTTACTATTAAAGACCACTTTTTCATTATTTATATTTTTTCTATATGTTTGTGAATAATGTGGTCAGCTGTTAATCTTGGAACCTTTACGACGAATTGCCGATAAGCATCCGAGTTAAGTTTGTTCTATTAATACTATGTAGATATACTGCATAGATCTTATAGTACTGTGGATAGTATCTATAGATACTGTGAGCTGCTACTGGCGAGAACTATTGCAATTTCTATCGCGTCAGAAATAAGAGAATTAAGGCTGTATCAGGTGTACAACTTTGTTAAAAAAAATTACTGAAATTGAAAATTTATATTTTCCTTATAAAAATGAATATTATATACGTGTAAAACCGCTCAATAATATCAATATTTATATTCAACAATATAATTTTATTATTTTAATGAAATTTTTTCATTCTAATTATTTTTTATTTGTAATTACATTAAAACTTTTATTTATGTTTTAAAATTGTGTCTGCTTTTTATTGAAATAATTTTGATTCAGGAGATTCTAATTTGTCGCTAAACTTTTTGAATTACTTTCAAATATAATACAGAAAAATCTATATTTTTTAATTTTATCAAAAAATACATATAACATACATCCTTAATGGCATTGGTATTTAATTAGATTACTGAAGCTACCACATTCCTTCCAATCTTGTGCTGTAAATATTACTTATCATATTGTATTGTGATGAAATCAATTTGTGAAAATATTTATTTTTATTATTTTTAAATACTATGAATTTGAATTTTATTTGAATATTATCCTCTTCGTTCTCCGAACTTATAATCGCCAAACCCTCTTGGGTATCGATCATGTAACTTTTTTTCTGTTCGATCATGTAACGTGAAATTCTTTCGATCATGTAACGTGAAAAATAAAAACTTTATGTA